CCGGGCCCGCCCCGGTCCGCGGGCTGGCTTTTGGCCGCCCATGGGCCGCGGGCTAATTTTATACTCTTATCAATGTGAATGTTAACATGTCAATGTGAATATTCACATTGTCAACGGGCAGGGCCGGACCCGCCCCGTGTTGCGAGCGGGCTTTTGGCCGCGCATGGGCCGCGGCCCAATTTTATACTTCTATCAATGTGAATGTTAACTTGTCAATGTGAATATTCATATTATCAACAGGCCGAGCCGGGCCTATTTTTTTGGCCTGTGGGCCGGGCCGGCCCGACTCGAATTTTTCCGGGCACCCACGAGGATCGACATGGGCCGGGCCTCTACACATTGACGATATGAACATATACGTTGACGGTGTGAACATTCACATTAAGGGTATTTTGGTAATTATGTCACCCATAGGACTTATTGAAATATAAGAAAATAATGTGAACTAAGTGGAACATAAGTAGATGAAAAGGGTATTTTGGTCTTCTTATCTCAAATTGGACCTAATGGAATAGTCAAAAAGAATATGGGTTGGATGGAATAAAGTTCTTAGAAAATGGATTTATCAAAAAAGCTCCCAAAAATTTATTATAGGGGAATGGGGAATTAATATCCACCCCATTGCCCCCATTGCCATTCCTACTTTAAGAAGACGAATTTTTTTTTAAAAAAAATAAATTAATGGGCTAACCCGATGCTTTGCCAACTCATACAGCGAGTAGTAGTTCAAATTTTTTTACGACCCCAAGACAAAAATCAAAATAAAGCCTCAAGTCTTAAGCCTTTAAGTAATTAAGAAATTTGAGAAGAAATTTTTTCAAAAAAATTTCTATTGGGCCCCAGGCAAGATGCGAATTTGCCTATAAGTTGAGCCGCCACTACAGCCACATGGTGATTAGTTTTCTTAGAAAACAGGGGAGATCTTGATATACCAGTTATGGTCCTGAAGAGCCGTGCAATCAGAGATCAAAGGTGGCTAGTGATTGAAAAAGGTGGCAAGGATCCCATTTCATCATTTTCGCATCTTCTGTCTATTTATTCTTCTACTCCAATTCTTTTTTTCAAAAGTCAATTATTTTATTTTTTTGCAAAAGTCAATTGCTTTAGTTAAGGCATTGAATCATCTCATAACCAAAGTATTACACACTAGTGAAAGCCTCCCTTGTACTATGGAGCTAAAAGTTTTGAAGTTTTGATAATTGCTTATGCAAATTTATTCCACTTAGGTCAACCCTTTTTTGCAGTGAGACGGCACATGCCTGGCCAATGCCATTGGCTTAACGCACGTGACTACACCATGATCCCCCGTGCCATGACAAATCTGTGCTTACAATATCTCACTGCGAATAAAATTTTTAAGTGAAAGTGAAAGTGAAAGTGAAAGTGAAAGTGAAGTAGATTTCCAATCTTTCAAGTAATCAAAAGGAAAATGTTTTTGCAAACAGTTAATGATATTGGCCAATGTTGATTTAGCATTTCAAGTAATTAAAAGGTAAACAGAATATTTATGTTAAAAGTTTGATGATATTAGCCATTGTTGAATTTTATGTAATATATCAAAATAAAGCAAAAAAATTATTTGTTTCTTCTTTCTTTTTCAAAAAAAAAAAAAAAAATTTTTTGTTTTTTTTTTTTTTTTTTTTTTTTTTTTTTGGAAATTTAGAAAGAAAAAAAAAATTAAGTTAAAGCTCTCTCCAATTTTTAATCACCTTTGTACCAAATAGGCACCAAAAATAAAGAAAGAGTATAAACAGAGGGGAGAAGTAGATCCTCCACCATAGCATATTATCAATACCAAAAAACCCTCATGTTGCATACCCTTAAAAGTTATAATTCAATGTGAATGAAATTTGTAACTCAATGTATTTAAATTACAACACTGTAATGGTTGTAATTCAACCACTTCAATGTGGTCAACAATCACATTGTGATTGAATCATAACTTTTGAAGGGGCATGCCACATACTAACCTAATAGTAACTAGCATCTTGCATTTTCGTGAAAATTTAATTATTTTTAATGTTTTCTATTTAAATGCAGTTTTCCCAAAAATTTTAACAAATCAATAACCTGTCCAAGCATCAAGGGTATATCCTGTTCAAGTTTTGTCCAGGGGCATTAACCAATCCAACAACACAAATTAGCCACCTTTGCAGCAGATCAAAATGATTAAGCAATGACTGTCCATAACCCATCAATTGAGTAAAATAGCAAATGAACCCTATTAAAAGCATGCCAGTCTCTCTCATGGTCCATTGCAAACACAAATAAACATGTCATGCTTCCAAAATTGTGCTCATTTCAGTGAGTACCAGTGGAGAATAAATAGAAGATAAGCCAAATGAAACAGAGAAACAGAAATCATGACCTAAGCCAATCTCAATCATGATTGAAATGAGTGCATTACCTTCGGATTAGCAGACACAGTGGTCCTTGTCAGGTCTCTCTGTCCATCTCTCAGAAATTCCAGCAAAATGTTAAAATAGAGAAGAGGTCAGGCAAGATGCTCCCTTTATTCCATTGCCACCCACAAGAGAGAGAGAGAGGTTTCAGAGTGCCATTGACATCTTGTTGTGTCTCTGCTGTGGTTTTCACAAATGGGTGGTCACTTACCTCCTTTGTAAAAGAAACAAAAGCTGTGGGTGGGTGGGTGATATGGGATGGGATCAGAATATGATTGTAAGTGCTTTTTCCTTTCATTGGAGAAATGGATATTCTTTCTTTTCCATCACTTTCTCCTATACTGATAAGCCACCCACCGTGGACATGATAAACCCTAGTAATATTAAATCCAATTTCAAGAGTTTTTCTGCATACTATGAGGTTCTTTTTATGACATACATTTCAAAAAGATAAAAGAGGGTTTGGAGATAGAGCAAAATTTAAGATGTTTCGCACCAAAACATCGTATATTTGTATATCTACAACTAGCAGAGCACATGGTATATGATCATTATGAATGCCTTCATCAAATCTTCATACGAGACATGAAGTGTTGGCATATTAATGACCAGGCAGAGCAAAAACATGTTTGTACACAGGGTATGCCTATTTAACTAAATAAAGTGATGTTGGAACTCTCTAAGGTTGTGTTTTGATTTATGGATTTGATAGTAAATGATTTTGGAACCATCCGAATAGCTCAAATTTAAATTTGATAGGTCATTTATGAATTTCAAGATTGAATTTAAGAGTTTTGTTATGATGGATTTGAAATAATAATGTAAAAGTAGCTATCTGAAATCTTTCATACTAAGGGTTTTAGTTATGCAAGAATCCTAATAAAATAAAATACTTCTCGTCTCTCTCTAATTTGTTTTCCCCTTTAATTTTTCAATTTACCTATAATATCTTAATATCCTATATTTTTATTTGAAATACATCCATCCATCCAAACGGAGACTAAAAGTTCAACTAGTGAAAGAAATTCTTCATCCAGATCAGAAAATTTGAAGGAGATCAATCTATGAACTACAAACACTTGCAATGTATTGTTAACAATTACTTGAGGAAAACCTTTTAATCTGAACATTGTTAAACATACTGCAAGGAGCAAAACACTACACAACAACTAGATCTGTTTCATGCAAAATATAGTGCGTATTCCATACAATAATAGTGCAACTATACTGACAAAACGGCAATCACCAACCATAAGAAATAATCATTTGGGCGACAAGCCAAGAAGATTTATATTTGCAGCCACAAAAACATTCTCATCAATTGAAACAAAAAAAAGAAAAAAAGTGTTTTCTAATACTAGGTAGCACTCAATCAAACAAACAAAAAACAAAATGAGTATATATTAGATTATATAGTGAAATTTCAATCCACCAAAACCAGTAAAAAATTAATGAATATAAGAATAGACCTATCTGGAAAGCGATGTGTCAGCGTAACCGCATCACAGAATGTGGGCCTCTCCAATAATTTGCATCTTTTCCCTCATCATCAATAATGTGCTCATGGGTATAATCTGGAAACTTGTGGGGAACAATAAATCATCTAAAAGTAAACTTTTGGGTCGCTCTCTCAGTGACTTTTCACATAAGCTCTTCCTGCAGCATAAATTCTACTCATCTCCTCAAGAATCCCATTGCCTGGTAGACATTATTGACAGTAACGTCTGCTATACCTGCAGCTTTCCTGGCACCCTCTGCCAAAACTCTATCCAAATAACCTGCATCAGATATAATTTCCTCGTATCGAAGCTGCAAAAAAGTATGAAGCCAGAATTGATGATGGGGACACCATTAATAAATATCCAAGTGAAAATCAGAACCAACTAGCAAAGAAGGATGAGCAAAGACAAGCTAAGCTCATGCAAGTTCATTGAGCTTGCTCCATTTCTCAGAATCTAGCTCGAAAATGTCAAAAACCTGAATGACTATAATTTTATATTTTAAAGCAGTACTAGTACATTAAATAAGAAGCTCAATCCTTATATGCATGAAGATAGTGATGATCATAAAGTATACTGACACCCAACTGCAAAAGTATAACCATTGCTTTACATGTATAACAATCAAATACTATACACAAGTAGATGCAAAATTAATTACAACTGGACAAACATGACTACTTGAAGTTTAACAAATATGGTGAAAATGCAATTTGTCTCCTCACTTTCGACTTCTAATGTGAAACAATGAGTTCAATAAAAAATAAGCAACAATGTGAAGTTCCACAAAAATTTACACATGCCAGGAGTGCGAAAGACCCTGTCAAATTTCACCAATCAGTCGTCAGATCATAGTTCAACTCAGACTAAGATTGCATGCTGTAACCAAAATTAACTTGGCCTCCATTATTATCATTTCAAAAATTGAGTGGAACTCAGACTAATTCATTGGAAAGTAAATAATAAATGTAGCTTTTTGGGTGCATTCACATCATAGTACCCCCTCCATCCAAAAATGAATGTCATGTTTTGGCATTACTAATCCAAAATTGTCCTTAACAAAGCTAAAAAAATGATTGCTTTGCATGTATAGTATTTGTAAAATATTTTGTTATAAGAGCCAAAATAGGAAAAGTAAAAGAATAATTGCTTTGACTTTTGGGTGCTTCTAAACACACCCAATTTTTCTCTCCATATCTACCGTCTCTTTACGTCCACCATAAAGATTTAAAAATCTCTTCCTTTTTTTTCTTTTTCCTTTTTTTTTTTTTTCTCTACACAACCCTCATGATCCCTCACGATGATGCCCATCATCAAACATTTAAGAGTGGTTTTATATGATCTGGAGTTATTTGGAAGTGGTTTGAGGCAAAGCTATATCAGTTGGAAATAGGAAGATGAAGCTCTATTTGACACTGACATTGGTTCGCCGACCTAGTTTGTCGAATAAAACTAGGTTGTTTGGTAGATCTTGGCCAATTGTTCGGCCAACCAAGTCCGAACATTCCAATAATGTCGGCTAATTAAGGTTGAACATATGTAGATTGTTCAGTCAATTATTTTTTGAATCTGTGAGTCTTTATTCACATTGTGGTTCAAAGATACAAGTAGCCAACTTATGCCAACTTAATTAGTATTCCTGGATAATATTGAGTTGGGACATATTTATATATATATATATATATACAAAGCATCCGTAAGAAGGTTCTTGAATGTGCCCCAGTTCATATCTTGGCATTCTTGTGCAACTTCCTGTAATAGAAAAATGTCCAGTACAACTTGTGTTATTCACTCACATTAAATATCAACCATACAACATATGACTCCACCAATTGATACAATTGCTACGTATATTGAATCTCAGCTCACTCCAATTCACGAGTCTTTATAAGTGCTTAGTCAAACTGTCAACGATCTTTAAACTCAAGCTCAAAAACATGGAAATTGCTCTTGATGCACTCCAATTGAGAGTCCAAAAGTTAATAGAGAAAAAAGCAAGAGGAAGAGGATGATCTATCCAAGTTCCCGGCTACTAGCCAAAGAAGAAGACGATGATAGTGAGTCTCAAAAAGCGACACATCAATCGACAAATAAATCCCTACTTTTTATTTTTATTTTTTTTTTGATAAATATTAATCCCTACTATTGCTTCAATGCCTATAATTTAAGAATTTCTATTATCATTTTTAAAAAATTGTTTATTTAATGTTATTTAAGAAATAAAATTGCTATGTTCTTTCCTTTCTTTGTTATGTATTTTCCCAACTTCAAGAGTCCACTAATGTTTGGCCAACTGTAGTCAAACCTTAGTTACTGGGAATTTGGCTTATTTTAATTGGCTTTTTGGCTGTTTTAGCTTGGCTAAAAAAGTTGTTTTTGGGATGATAGTTGGCTTTTTTTTGGTAGTTGATTTGATAATTGTGAGAAAAAAAGTAAAATGATTCTGATTTGGATGTGAGATTTTGCCTTATTGACTATTTTAGCTTATTTTGTCTTTATTGGCTATTTTAGCCAAAAAAGCCACAAACCTAAGTTCCCAAACAGCCCCAAAACAAGGGCAGGGGTGCGAGGGCATATTTTAGTTTCTAAGGTTGGAAATGCTTACAGGAATACATTTTATTTCATACATTAAATATACAACTATACTCTAACAACTATTTTTCTCTGCTTAGTTGTAATATATGTATTAAAGTATAAATAAATATTAGATATTGACGTCAACCACAAATTGTCTTTGTTAAGTATATATAAATATTATGTAAATAGAAAGTATTAGAATAAGTATGGTTGTTTTTCTTTTGTTTCTTTGAGATTTGTATGTTTGAGAAGTTCAATCTCTGTTGGAGAGAGTTTCTTACTTAGAGGAGTGTAATCAAGTTTCCAAATAAGAAAAGTCACCCAAGAGAAAGTTTCCTACTACTAAGAGCTGATCAAATCAATAATGTTCTGCCACATATTGTCAAACATTATTGATCTCTTTGGCTACATTTAGCAGAACAAACAAAAATGTTTGGCCCGTTAGTCTGAACATGTACATAATGTTCCGGCCTGATTAGCCGAACAAAACTCAAACCCAGCAAAAAAAAAAATTTGTTCTTAAAATCATTAAAGCATGCACCTTTCTGCTGCTGGAATTGCTCCCAAATGACAATTTGCTTGTCCATTAGTAGAACAAATGTAATGGGACTTCACTTCTTTGAGATTGAGTGGATAAGCAAAGAAATTTTGCTTTTATTTTTAAGTAATTTTTGTCCTTAATAGAAATTTCGATTAGGGGTTGAATAATTTTTATAGATTCTGTCATTGCATAAAAAAAAAAAAAACTTATTTGGTGGTGTGGAGAACAAAATTGGGTATTTGGGTGTGTATTTAGAAGCACCCTATACTTTTTCATTGTGAACATCTATTGTGGAGCAGGGAATAATGGAAGTAATACCCTCATTTTGGAATGGAGTACTAATCCATGGATAGTCGTACAAATCCATGGACCTTTGTCAGCGTGTTTATTGCACAAAAATAATCCTATTTACCTATTAGCTTACACATGAGAGCTATTGAAATTCACCACCTTCTAGCTTTTTTTTGGGTGAATAAACCACCTTCTAGCTCAAACCATAAGAGACAAGAATGGTACTGAAATTGGAACTTTCGACTCAATTTTGGCATGTGTATTTACTTTAGCAAACCATAAATGCCCAAAAACTTCTGGGCAAGCCAAAAGTTTATAAACAACCGACTCTCAGCCACAGCACAAGAATGCACCTCAAATGCTTCAAAACCACATAGTATATGAGCAATTGTATACAACTAATCATGAAGGCATCACATTTAGGAGGAAAAACCTGGATGGGATCTAGATGATCAATCAAAGCATCCGTAAGAAGGTTCTTGAATGTGCCCCAGTTCATATCTTGGCATTCTTGTGCAACTTCCTGTAATAGAAAAATGTCCAGTACACACTTGAAGCACGTTAAAAGCTAAGAGGAGGATAATAACTACTAATAAGTTGTCATAATTTGATATCATAGTGCCCTCAATGAAAAGGCAATCAGATAGGAATTCTAATCTAAACACATTACCAAAAATTTTAGAATAATGAGTAATTCATTTCTAATTAAAATTGTATGCCCTACCGTTTCTGGTCCATATATTGAATTCAAGCATGAGACTATATCACTAATAAGATGATATGACACTTAATCATGACAGACGTAAATATTTATGGACAGCAGAAGCCTATTTTCATGGAGATTTTCTTATCAATTAAAGCAATTACAAGTTTCTCTGACACATCCATTCATTATATTCCACACTCGTAACCACACAAAATTTGTCACATCAAGCAATTACTGTTCACAATTGCATAAACAAAATCTACATATTTCCCCTGCCCAACGAACCAAGCTTCAGTTTTGTAATCATACCGGCACAATCAAACCAAAAGACAGGACCCACTAGGCTTTGTGAATTTATTCGTTTAAAAACGACTTACTCCTTTAATCAATGCCACATTTGTTTAATGTTAACAGAGATGTCAATGAGTTGATCCAGATTGGAATCCGACGAGCAACAATGTGGGGTTTAAAAAAAGATTGCTTATATCTGTCCCAAAAGAGAACAGTATCACATCATGTTCCATGAATTGCTACATTAGTAGCTACTTCATTTAACAATTGGCTCAAATAACATAAGGTTAATTAAATATCCTGTTCCAACCAAACTGTAAGTAGAAATGATCATCACATTCAAACAATCACCAGATTCCAACAAATAAAATTTCAAATCAATTTATACATATGGATAGATGCAACATCAAGAATAGAATTAAAGTACGGATGCTATTAATGAAATAATAGATGTGAACTCCAATACCTGTTTTGTCCTGCCTGTAACGACCTGATATATTGAAAGAAGGTTGTTGGATTCAGGTCTGTCAGGGTTGTCAAATTCCAGGCTGCATAATTTACCGATGAAAGAGAAAGGGGCTTATCACACTTCATGGAAATAAGTAATTTTGCAAGAAATGAGTAGACAAATAGAAAAAGAAAAAAATTCTGGGCAGGATAATTAGCATGCAGAATAACAACATAGAAATAAATGCTCAGCAAAATCAGGAAAAAAAAATGCAAGTACTAACCCTGGAAATGAGTCAGTCTTGCAACGTTTTATCTTGTTTGCTATTACCTACAGAACAGAAACAAACTTACGTCATGTATCAAGAAAACATTATGGTAGACAACACCAAATTGGACAGGAACCAGAACTTGGTTTCCTAGGTGAGAAGAATTTAGTTAAAATGAGTACAGATTAATGGAATAGATGCACAAAACGATCATCCTACAAAATATAAGTTATGAAGAATAGTCAACGAGAAGAGGCAAATTAAGGCAATACGTATACAACTCACATCTTTTGGATCAAGCAAATTAATTCGAGACTGATCAGAAGGTGCAGACTTGGACATCTACAAACAAACAAAACAAAACAAAAAGTGTGTAAATTGATATAAAAATAAAAAAGTCTGGTGCAACAATATATTCAGACATCACCTAAAAGCATACACCAGTGGAGTTGGCACACAGCAAGAAAGTAGACATTTTCTTATTGGAGAAGAAACTATTCTCCCCAAGGAAATAGATATTCTTCTAATACATTCCTTCTAGCCTCTCAGTCCAAATTTAAAGCCCCATCACAAGAGGAGAAAAGAAGGTACTGTGAATTGATTGTTTCATGCAACTGAGGAGAAAAGAATTGTCTTCATTTTCGTGGAGGACATCTTGTCCTCACATGTTTGTATTTTCCTGATTTTTTAATCAGTCATGAGAATACAGGAAAGATTTCATGAACACCACTTATTCTTATAGTCAAAACTCTGGCTCCTCAACTCAAACTACTGCCAATCTCTAGGCAAATAGTGACATGACATAGCCAAAATATGAGGTCAAGTAACAGACAAAACAAGTGATGAAAAACCAAGATATATGTCAATGTTATACAACCTTAAAATTAATCCTTTTTTGGAATTATATGAGTTCTACAATGGTGGAAAAACAAGTTTATGCTAACATTAAACAGAAAATTACAAAAAGTAAATTTAAACCTTTGAAAGACCGTCAGTGAGCGACATCACTCGGGCTCCAGCAGGTGGAATGAGGGCCTCAGGAATCTACATCAGCAAACTAATTTAGGTCAAATTGACTTAACTAGTTATGATATTTAATTAGCTGAAGTGAAGCGTATCAACCACGAATCAAAGAACAGATTCCACCTTAAAAATTGCACCACCTCGCCTGTTAACAAAATGAAATAAACAATGAACTCTCTAATTCAAAATTACCAAATAATAACAATAATTATAAGAATACTAACTATTACCAAAAAATAACGGTTAAGGGTTTGGCAATTGTTTTCTTTCATCTGTATTGATCTTTTTTTTTAATTTTCAAAAAGCTTTACACTTTTAGGCTCAACTAGACTAGATGGGCCTGAAAAGCAATTAAAAAAAATTGAAAAAAAATCCACTGATGACAACCAAAAAAAAAGGTCCATTTTTTGGCTTTTTTGGTTCTTTAGAGAACTTTTTTGGATTTTTTCAAAAAATAATAATAATTTTAAAATTTTTCTGGGGACCTGAAAAGTTTTTTAAAAAAAAAATTCACTAAAGACAAAAAGTTTGGAAAAATGTGACTTTTTAGCCGCTCCCAATCAGAGATGCATAATTAACAAGCCAAAAAGTATTTTAATGACCATCCTAACTAATATGCTTCTCACCCTCCCAATTTCTTCCACTTCCTTCCTCCATATGAATAATTAACCCGCTCAGCCAGCTCTCTAGTCAACTCTAGATGTTGCTTCTGATCCTCACCAACTGGAACGAAGTCAGACTGCAGAGAAATGCTGCAATATATAAGAATGATGCATGTTCAAGGTAATGGTCATCAACATGTGAAATCAATTAGTCACAATTACAAGAGCGAAAGATTTCAATTAAATCTTAAACAAATACAACCATAAAGTAATCCAAAAATGGATGACTAATCTGTTTTGGCAAGTCTACGAATGAAATAGAAGAGTACAAAACGACATCATTTATAAAGGCATGAAATTTAAGTATGTCCTACCAAATTAATGCTGCATAAATAAATAAAACAACCACCTGATACAAAAGAATATCAGCGGCCATCAGGACAGGATAAGTCAATAGACCAACCCCAATATTTTCATCCCCCTACAAACCAAAATAAAAGAGCAAAAGTTTATTTGAAGAAATTAAAAGATATAACATTGTGTAAACTGTAAAGGCACTAGGAAAAAAGTAACAATATGCAAGAGACATCTATAGTGAAAGAGACAAAATGCAGACTCTGATACTGAGAACTGCTATTCTCAAACATTCGTATGTAAGGTTGTATATTTTTCGCTATGTTTGGTAGGTCAGGGAAAAAAAAGAGGGAGAAAAGAAGAGAAAGAAAAGAAGAAAAGAAGAAGAAGAAAAAAAAAAAGAAAAGAAAGGAAAGAAATTATAATTATTTTCTTTGTTTGGTTGAGAAGATAAAAAGGGAGGAAATCTCTAAACATTGTTCTGGGGTTTGTACCTTATGCTTAATCCGTTGTACCTAATCTTTTTGTATGATGTTCACCAGACATTTGACTACAAAACTCCAACCATGTTATTTCTAGCTGATCTTCAGATGTCTAAACATCAAAAGAATATTAGAAAATAGGAATGTGTGTGTATAAACCAGAGGTTCTAAAACAGTGAAATAAAATGTGTATTTCTGATATTGAAAATCTGTTGCATTGCCATATGAAATGAATTCCTACAGGAGCTACAAAAATCACTTTCAATTAAAACCCGGAGCAAATTAGTCTTTTTTTCATCTCCAAAATTCAATATAAATTTATTACATTTCACAACAGAAAAGAAGCATCATTCAGATCTTGCAGAAGTAACTTGATTAAAGCATTCAAGAAACAAAGACTTAGCCCAAGGAAGTGACGAGTTTGACCCTCTTGCATGTTTTGGAATTGCACGTAAGAGGCCATTGAATTTCTTAAGAAAGTAATATAACAAAAATTAACATAAGACAATGTTAAGATAAAGCTGCATACAGCAAAGACGCACCGCCTTGCGGGATTTTTCTTTAAACTGAATCATTCTGTTCAGCCAACCAATTGGGGTGGCAGAACTCAGTAACCACATCAATTCTACATGAGCACGAACATGAGACTGTACAAAGATAGAAGCCTGTGCAGATTAAGACAAGTTAATAATAAGTCAACCATTCACATTTGGGAATTAAATGAACAAGCATTATTTTCAGAATCTGTAACAACATAATAGAGGACAAATAAGTGAACCAGACCTTGGAGGTGTCAACACCACACGCCATATAAATAGCTGCCGTTTCTTTTGTTACTCTAGATAATTCTTTTGCATCATATGGTAGAGTAATCTGCGAGTGGAAAAACAAAGGGTGCTTGGAAGGAATTTACAAAAACATGAAAGGTCCACCAATAAAAGCATCACAATCCCATGTGCAACAAAAATCACATTTTCTCAAATCAATTTTCTTCTTATTCAAAAAGAAAAAATTATTAAAAACAAAATAGAATAAAAATACTTCAGTTCACAAGTCAAACATGCTCCAAAACCACCTCTTCCCACGGCATACCATCCACTTTTTTATGGATCTTTAAATAACTATCAACTTTTTTATGTATATCACAAAAGCTTTTAATAGAAAGGTTCCTCAATAAAACACAGGTGCAAGGACTGAAACAAATAATAGATCAATGCAGAAAAATGCAGACATAGATTCAAAATTGTGATAATGCTCCTAATGTTCTTTAATACATGTCATACGGTGCCTTAATTCAGATTTTGTTACAAAGCCTGTTCACTTGGTGAAGGATTCTTCAATGCTAATATGATTAAATATTATGACAATTACATAATTTGAGGGCAGATTCACAGTTGGATTTCATCTTTAGGTAACGTTTCACAATGTCCAGGTAAATGAATAGCATAACATATCCTCTGTGCTAATTTAATTATAAGCCTACAAGTCTATGCTCAAAGTTCAAAAGCCTGTGAAAATTCTTCTATAGTTTAGTTGCAAATATCGCATGGCAGCCTAGCCACGTTATCGCATTTGAATATATTAAGCTACATAATGGTATTGTGACATCGAGATAGCTACCAAACTGATAATTGCTTCGATTTAAATTATCCGGAGGATGCCTTATATATCAAAATGTTATCTACCAAACTGATGATACTTTCAAGTATTACAAGTGCAAACCAGCTGCTCGTAAACTAACTCAGGAAGCACCACCACATTCACCAAGAGAAAAATTAATTGAAATATTACATGAAATTAAAAAAAGTAGGGGGTACAACTAAACATACCGCATGCAGGTCAACGATGAAGAAGAGAGTATCATAAGCATTCTGCAAGGAGCAAACCAGAACAAGAAAGACCAGATAACTTCAGAGTAAAAAACTAGAACATATGTTAGCAGAAAAATCAATTAGGCCACTAATAGCTGATGCCTCCACTGGCAAGTTTCCCTTCAAACAAAGTGTGGCAGATTGAATCCTACAGATTAGAACAGAAAAGCATCCCCTATTTCACATTTCCCATGCTTATGCACATAAATATGGTATATCATCAATCCAAAGGAGCAATTTAGCAGCTATTTAGTAAGCAGAGATGAGTCAGCCACTTTCGAAATATATTTGAAGCAATAATGCAAAGTTGCACACTGTATAACCAACCAACCATTTATGACCGTCCATGATATGCATGCAAACAAAAAATATGAGGACGAATCCAAATAGGCTTTTTTAAGTCTCCATTCATGAGTGTTACATAACCATATATCCTAAGGTGAAAAGACACTATAATGCGTTCAAAATTGAAGATATCTTGGGGTCATCTTCACATGTCAAAGAAACTGGACCAAAGCCCATATATGGATGGGAATGGACATGTAGAAACTAGTCTAACCGTCAGCTAAATGGGCCTATCTTGATGTAAAATGTTAAACATAGGTAAGAAAAAACCAAAAATAATAAGTCCACAATTCAAACTGGGTTGCCCTACACACACGGGTTTAAAGCTGAAACAAATTTAGTGGTCTAGCTGACAATCCAACCAGTCCAACTAACAGATTGAATATGTTTAAGGACACAAAATTTTATGTATGTAATGTCAAGCACCATTAACTACTGATATGAGAGAGACTTGATATTGCCCCACCCACACCAAATACAGAGGGGAAAAAAAGGGTCAATTGAGGGCACTTCAGCTAAGGTTATTATGACTAAGTTACAAAACTTTCAATTCCCACACCCATTCTCACTTCTATTGATATGGGTGATAACCATCACCCAAGTAACACATGCATTCCCTTATTATCATACATGAATTAGCAGTAATGTTGTGTAACTGTGCAAAGAAGAAGAGTTCACCAAAAGATTACTAATCCAGCAAAGAAGAATGGTGCTTGAACTGTTACACTTCAGAAAATAAAAGTGAAAACAACAACATAATATAACACCATTACATTCATAGAACAACAGATACCATTATCAAATTTTGGTCAAAATACACACATCTTATATAATTTAAAATTAACACAACCTGCAACGAAACCCAATTTTTTATGGCACCAAGATAATTGCCGAGGTGTATAGATCCTGTTGGCTGAACTCCAGACACTATCCTCTTCCTGTAAATGGGAAAAAATTTCAAAAAAGATTATCAAAAATTCAAAAACAAAATATAGCATCTAGTAAAGAGCTATACAGTAGTGTTATGAAATATGGGGAAGCATCAATATGAAACATAATCAATATTATGCATAAGCATATGGCTGATTATTGCCAATATTTTTTTTCTCTTTTTGGACCAATTAGCCTTATCACTATCAACTTAAAACTAAAGTGTGCTGATGTAGAATTGAGTAAATAAAGAAATTGATTACAACAAACAATAATTCGGTTAGGCTAGATCAATCTGGAACTGTTCATATAATATTGAGCCGAATATGTAATAAAAAATTGGTTAGGCTAGAAAAAGTTTTAAGGCATAAAAACATAATTTCGAAAAAAAAGAGAAATTTTTTTCCAAATTATAAGAACAAAAAATAAATATACGTGTATACAAGATAGTAACTTTTTTTTAATACAGCCACAATTTGTCATAATAGGAGCACAAGCAACTTATGTAGAACCCATTATAGATTTAAATATCAGCATGCTAAATTTCAAATATACCCGCAAAAAAATAAACAAATAGTTTGAGAAGCACCATCACATAATGAGAATCAAGCTCTGATTTTTTATCATTAAGATGAGAGAAAAACGTAAAGTTAAAATCCAGATTTTAACTGCAATGTAAACAAAATTCCAATACAAACCAGCCCAAACAGTGACGGAAAAATACTTTACAGAACTTGAAGAAGCCTCAGGGGCAGTGGGTTCCGAAGCTGAGAGGCTGCAACAGCATCGAGAATCTGCAACACCGCTGTGCCCAGTTGGAAGCCGAGGATGACGAATTGCTATGTGTGTTCTCAATAATCTACTCACATCTATACCGCAAGACCTGCTTGAAATTCTGAAAATTTACTGCTAAATTGTCAAGATTGTACTACACTGAATAGTTAGAGAGAGAGAGAGAGAGAGAGAGAGAGAGAGAGTACGGTGACGAGGTGAAGCGAGGGGGAGAATTGGAGAGAATGAGGAAGTGAGAGAGAAGTGAGCGCCCCATTGTTTACTCTGGTTGGGCTGGGGAGTTTGGGGATATGATGACGATGATGTAGCACAGCAAGCCAAAGCGCTGCTGAGGGTTTAGCGTGTTCCGCAGCTTTTATTCGGATGGATAGACTGATCACTCGTTTGAGAAAAGCCTATTTTAATATCTTTTGGTTGCGTTTCCAAATAATGATTCTACATTCAAATATCAGGGCTTTTTCTCAAAATAAGTCACTTTTGTATTTTATTTCTTAAATTAGGCCAACTTCTGACAAAATTTTCAAAATAAGCTGAAGCGCCATTTCGATTCGCACTTTTACTGTGAGAAGGTCGAAATTTGATGAACAGTGTAATCGCTATTCCAATTAGCGAGTTTGATTAAGAAAACGCTGTTGCAAATAGCGCTTCATTTGGTTTGTGAAGAAAACGCTATTCTGAATAGCGCCTTCACTGTGCACTTACAAACTCGCCATTTCTAATAACGCTTTCAGACAGCATAAAACACACCCAAGCCACGTTTTTTACACTTCTCACACTCAGCTCTCGATCTCCCTCTGCTCTCGATCTCTCTCACTCTCGATCGATCGATCTCCCTCTGCTCAACTCTCACTGTCGCTCTCGCTCTCCCGCTGCTCTCACTCTCTGTCTCTGTCTCCGTGGTATGGCTCTGTCTTTTTTCTGAATTTTATGTATTACCTCATATTTTTGAGATGATTCACATGTCATATCTTAGAAGTCAAATCTTTAGTTGCATTTCATGAGTGAATTGCATTAGAATTGGGTATAAAAGATCATGCATAGTTTTCTAATGTTGTTTTGTAGCTGTTTGCGGGACGTCGGTAAATATGTAAGTTTTTCATGCTTTAGCATCTCGCTTGTGTGTGTTTTGTTTGCGGTGTTTAAGTATCTTATCATATGGCTACTTGCTTACTTGATATAATTGTATGAATGCCGATGGATGAGGTTATGTCGCTTAATTTGGAATGATGTTGATTTTCATGATTGTAAACTCAATTTCTTTTAGTTGTACATCTTCAATATTGTAGACACCCCATTTTGACCGGCCCTAAGACTTGGGCGCTTTCTTTTGATTACCCGATGATGACAATCAGAATGTGTTTCTCACAAAATTATTAGTAAGAGAGCTTGGAATTTGAGCTTTATTCCTAACCCTAAACCTATATCAGCCAAGTGTTTAAGCCCTGTGGGACACCCGGAGTGAAATGGGACCAAACCGGAGTGAAACAAGACCGAACCGGAGCAAAAAGGGACAAAATCCACCCTAGCCGGTCAACCGGTAGCACGATCGCGGGCACGACCAATGTGATCGCTAGTGCAACTTGCCTTACTACGGTCGCGACCTATTCACATTGGGCGAGTTTTTTTTACTGTGTGGGGCACTTTGTGATGTTATTTAGAACATAATATGAATTTGAATGAGGAAAAATTCCAATTCATGAGTAACATAATATGAATTATCGGTTTATGAGTAACATAACTAAGAGTTTGTTTGAATTGGAATTTGGAATTTTTCATGAACCAAATAACATATGGCCCCATGAGTGTGGACTGTTCACCAAGTGTGGACTGTTCACCAATTATCCCTATTTTAAATTGATAATGTTATATATATTAATAAATTTGTATTATAAAAAAAAATTAACTACTAGTATAACACCTATTACATCATTGACATAATTCATGCTTTAATTTTAAAAATTTTATTAGTACATGATATATCAATTATTAAGAATAATTTATAAAATTTATGAATTTGTATAATGTTTTTCATTTTGTATATGTTATATATGAAGTTGATGTGTTAAAGTCAATTTGCTTTACTCATATATACAGTTAGAGTATTCTTTATTTGTTACACATAATTACTAATATACATAGCATGAATTGTTCACTTTATGGTTGTATATTGAATTTTTTATTCAGTTTGTACATCAATTGGTTGGCATAATCTAGAACTAAGTAGGTAAATTTCATTTTCGATTTGCCACTCACCCAAATAATACTGACTTACGAAAATCTGTAAGTCCAATCACTTGTATAGATATTATGGTACACTGTAAGGAATATTACCTTATTTTGTATTCATCCAACAAAACATTATTTTGTGAAAATTGATTTTTAAAAAATTAAAATTGATAAAAAAAATTATGTTTATCACCCGTTAAAAATAAAAAATAAAAAGCAACCCAATTTCATATTAACTTTTTTAACTTATAAAAAAGTCAAAGAAATCATTAAATAAATAATATCAAACAAGTTTTTAGTCATATTATTTATAAATTAAGAGGTCAATAAATCAATTTTTACTTAAAGGCAATGGATGATTACTGAAAAACATAAACGCATGACTTTCCAAGAGTACCTAATAATTTTTCCTCATTAAAAAAATATCAAACAAACTATTAGTTATGTTACTCATAAACCGATAATTCATATTATGTTACTCATGAATTGGAATTTTTCCTCATTCAAATTCATATTATGTTCTCTCAAATATTTAATTTTGACTCTATTTTATTCAAATAATAATATTTTGGTATAGTTTCGTTTGGTTTATTTCACTATATTTGGGGTCAGACACCCAGAATATGATTACAAATTTTTAGAATTTATTTTCATTTGGGTTTAGCTAAAGGTTTCCACTTAGTTGTTAACTATCGAAATCCATACTTTAGGACATAGTTTATTGCAGGTGTCTGCATATAAGCACATACTCACTTGTAAATTGTATGTAAGATCATTTTGCACTCTGCCCCTCCAAGCTAACCAACCAAAAAAGTGTAATTTTGGGAGGTGCCACATTCTTTCACAACCATTTGCAAATCAAACCAAACAATTTATTTTTGTCAAATTTATTTATATTTTTTCAAAAAAATCAAAAAATAATTAAAAAAATAAAACCAAACCGCTATATCATGTATTATCTTTAATATACATTCAATAAAATTAGTAATTTTTATAAAAAATATTAACTTTGATATTAGAATAATTTGAAGAAATTTCATTATAAAATACTAACATTTAATTTTATAATATTGTCATAGAAATTTTTAAAAATTTAATGAGCTGAATTTGTAATACATATAATAGCATTATAGTAGAAATTAAAATTTCCTCACAAAACTTAAGAAAATTATAAAAAGTTTTTGAAATGGGTATTAAACGAAGTGGTTTATCACCACTTCCGCTTTGTGACTGTCCGCCACCATTGAAAAGGAAAATCTGAACATTATGTTTTTATAATTTTTATTTTGATTTATATAATTATAAGTCATTATTATATTTTTGTTGATTCCTTCCTTAGTTTCATTAACTAGAACAATATCATCAATGAATAACCCACACCATGAGATATTCTCCCAAGTATGAACTCATCCATGACGAAGGCAAATAGGGGTATGAACTCAACTCTCCATTATTTTTATAAATAAAGTACTAAAATACTTTTTCTCCACTCATCAAACATTTTTGTACTCATTAGAATCTTATTAAATAATTTTTTCAATCAAGACAAATTCCTCCTTATCTAAACATTTCCAAACCCTCAATAAGGAAACAATCTTATCCTAATAAATTACCTGATTTCATCTTCTTCAGTGCAAATTCCACCTCAAACTCCCTTAGTCAACGATAAACCTATATTCTCTGGTTTCATCTACACTATCATATTCATCTCTTAAGTTTTTAAATGTTTTTCATTTACCATTAAAGAAACATGAACCTTTTTTAAGGTAAACATTTTATAAGCCCTATACCTAGACTCACATCTTTTATGAATACAAAGCACTAATTCGGGATCCCAATGAATACAAAGTACGATTAAATCGTTGCATAAATTAACAGTTCTGTAGAGTTATTATTATTTATTTATTTATTTTCAATAAATGCCTTTTAAAAGGAAAATGTTTCGTAGCTCAAATTTTGTGGCTCAAAAGTGGCTCAAATGGTCAAAACGACGTCGTTTTGGCCATTTTTATGTTGTTCTGTACTCAAAACGACGTCGTTTTGGCCATTTGAGCCACTTTTGAGCCACAAAATTTGAGCTACGTAGTATTGTCGCTTTTAAAAATTGATCATATTGTAATAGGGAGACCCTTGCCGCAATGGTAAGGTTGCTTTATTATGCTGATAATAATGCTTGTGGTTATATGGACATTGTTTCGATGTATGTATATTGCTCATATTTTAATGTTTACTGTTTCATTGAAACAAGTATATGGCAACTGTTCCAATTATCTTCTACTGGGGGGGAAACATAATTCGGGATCCCGATAAAGGTGCATCATATGATGCTGAGCCGAAAGGGATATATGGGGTGCAACTTGGCACCACACTTAGCAATTTAGAGGAGATGTTTATGTCCAAGGTGACAAGTTACGGGGAAACAGTCCGATTGATCTTCAAATGCAGATATCCTTATCGCCAGTGGCAAGCAACCAGCAAATACAAAATATTACCGATCAATGACGATGAGGCGTTGAACACCGTATTAAGTATCGGTGGAAGTTTCCAACCACCAAATTGTTTGGAAGTGTACATTGAGAAACAGGTTGTACAAAATCTTCCGAATATAACACAGATGGATTCTCATCCGTTCACTACATTGCTGACACATGGGATTGACACGACAGCGTTTCAGTCTCGTATGTATGAATCGAATGAATGTTATGCAGCTGGCTACACACAACAGACATTTTATGGCCATGGTGGAGAATCAAGTTCACGTGGTGGATACGAGACTGAATTTCACAATAACACCGAAGATGTGCCCACCTACAGTTATCATACCACTCCAGTTGAAGTTGCTGGTAATATGGCTGAAACAGTTAATTCTGTGCAGTTTGCTGACAGTGACATGTACGGTCCTGATGTCGCCCTAGACAATTATGAGAATGAAATGTGTGATGAAGAAAATTTATTGGGTGGATCAGATGATGATGATGATGAAGAATGCCCCCATTCCACTTAGACCTGAAATCCCTTTTTATGAAAACATTCACATAGGTTGTGATTTTGACATTAGTAACCGCGATGTCATTCCCCGTGACCGAATATGGAATGCTAAAAATCCAGAGTTGGACAAATGGATGGTTCTGTTGATAAGAAGCAACTGATACATGCTGTGAAA